CCTACAAAAAGAATTCTTTGCATACTTTGAGCAGGATGCTAGAAGACAGTTCTTCTGAACCTTATTTTGGTCTTGCTAAGACTTGAGTAATGGTCAATGACAAACCTCCTCACCTTCATACATTTCAACTTATCAACATCTAAAACCCAGTTGAAGTGTGCTTTCCTATTTGGCAGAGAGAATTGTCAACTCAAGATAGACAATACAATTCTAGACTATTTGTATTTCCAGTGCCTCTTATCAGTAATGCTGAACCCTCTGAAAGGTGAATTAAATGTGAGCGGGGGGGATGAGAATGTGAGGAGGAACTGAATGAGTCATATGATATTGGCCTATTTTCCTCAGACAATTTTAGATCCATGTTCATATATATATATATATATATATATATATATATACACACACACACACACACACACACACACACACACACATATATATACTATATCAGTTTCTTCAGGCACTGGCACTACTGAGTAAGCCATAATCTGACACCTTAAAAATAATCTCCATAGAGCTGGTGAAGAGAAGGGAGAGGATCCATCAACTGGACTCAAAGCTATAAATCAGGGCAGTAGTGGAAATGGGAAGGAAGGAATATAGATCATGAAATTTAGCACTGCTGTATTTTTTTATTCTATAAACTATATACAAAGATAAAGAGGCTATAGTATTTACCTTTATAAAAAGACTTAAATGTTGTCTTAAGATATAACCTCAATGTGACAAAGTCCAAATTTGTCACTTATTGAGCATGCTTATAAATTATGCATATTCATAAAACTGAACTCTCTAGCCTAAGAGTATATAGTTATTTTAAGGCAGAGGCAGAATTGAAACAGTTTCTTGTTCTTGGTCCAATACTCACCCCCCCACACCCCACCCCGCCCCGCCCCTACCATTGTGGGGACCAATGTAAGATTCAACTGCTCAGTCATGCTTTCTTCTTGTAATCAGAAAGCTGCTCACAAGTGTGACTTAGGCCCTTGTGGCCCACTCAGATATTCAATCCCCTTCCCTAGTACTCTACCAAGGCACAAATCCTTTCAAGGCTAGGGGCGGATTCCACTCCTATTATTATTACAATATGCCCATACAATTGGTAGACGGGGTTTGGAGGCTGCCACCAGGGGGAGCAGTAGCTTTGGAGAGGGTTCCTATGACGTGCCCTCTAGCAAGCATGAACAGGCAGAGGAAAGCGCCTGCTGTGGAGGCTGAGGTTTGCTTCAGTCTCTCAATCTGGCCTGGCAACTAGTAGGGAGAAAGAGTCCTGGAAAAAGCGTTTTCTTTTTATTTCAGGCATCTACTCTATTAATTTAACTTAATTTGTTAGTAGCTGATTTCTGTCAGCTTGTATTTAGGTTTCCAATGTGATAGGCCTGTTTTAGAATGTACAGGCACAGAAACCTTGTGCTGCTTTCCAAGCAAAACCAGAAAGATTCCCCTGGGGTTGTTTTGGAATTTAAGGAATCAGAGGGTGAGGGGACATATAATGGGCACAACTAAGACCTATGCAGCCCATGGTACTGTGGTCATATTCGATATATAAGTACTCCCTGCTTTCCTGCCATGCCAACACCCCACTTCCCTTTTGCTTTACTAGGTTAAAACCTTTTCCTTTATTCCTTTGACTATACTTTTAATCAGAAAATGAAGGAGCAGTTTTGCTTTTCTGGTGGCCTTGTAAGCTTTTTTTCTAACTGCATGTTTTCTTTTCTAGTATTCTAGAAATTAAATAAGAATCAGCTGGGAGAGTTAAAAAAAAAAAAAAAAAAAAAAACAAGTGGGAGAGAAAAAAAAAAAAAAAAAAAAAAAAAAAAAAAAAAAAAAAAACCTTGTCATATATGTAAGACATGGATAAAAATGGTCCTGGGTCAGTCCTACCAAAGACACAAGTACAGTCTCCTTGAGGTTAATTCATGTGTACTGCGTTTGCAATGTGCAGTGATAAAGTGCTCCTACTCAAAAAGAAGGCAGCTCTGGGTGTGTGAAGGAAAGTCTAGCAATTCTGTGAGTGGGGCAGCATCATGTTGTCTTCACAATCCTTGGCTCAGCTGTGAAACCACTGTCCTTGGAAAGCCCACTTCTCAAATTCACCTCTACTATCGACTATGAGAAGATACTGTGTGGAGTCAAGAGACTTGCTCCAATCTGGAGGTGTGTGGAGGCCTTGGGCAAGTCATTCAACTAAATGAGCCTCTAAATTCCTGTTGTAAGTTGAAGATGATACTGGCCTCAGAAAGTTCTCGGAAGGAGCCAATAAAAGAGCATACAGACTCATTCTTACAGTTTCCAAATAAAAAGACACTGGCTTAAATACATCTAATAAATCAGCATATTTCTAATGCTATAGGTACTGGTGACTTAAGTTGCCTCTTTAGAATTTCCAGTTGTCAGGTGAAAACTTCAAGTTTTGGGCATAGAAATTGTCCATTTACGATATGGACTATGATTTTATGCCACATTCTTAAATCCGTTTTAAGTCTCAGTGTAGTACTGGAAGCTTGAAATCACAGGTGTATCCTTTTTTTTTTTTTTGAGAATAGTCAGTAGCTTTCACATCTTTTCAAACCTACCTGCCTCACATACCAATACAGACTTGTCACTGTAGTCATGATAGCCTCTTTGACTATCCTTATTATTAGCTTGGAGCTGAAAGCAGGTTCTTCCTCCTGTCTTCAAATTCTCTCCATCTCTCTCTTTTTTTTTTGGAGAGGTTTTCTCTATAGGGCACGTGCGCTCGCCAGCCAGCCAGACAGACAGAGACATAGAGACAGAAAGTGAGAAATCACCCCCCAGGGGGGATGGTCACGCCACAATCCCTTCTCCTCCATTCTCCTCTCGGGATCTTGGGCATGCACGCACACTCGCCCGGCGTGAGTTTTAAGCCACCAGGTACGGGACGCAAACCATGGTTGACGCTGTGGAGTCCAGCGACATAGCCATTACGCTAACTGCTGGTTCCCAAATTCTCTCCATCTCTTAAGAACGAGGTCAAGTTCTATTTTCTTGTGCTACCATAATCCACAAGAATGCCTCTTCTTTCTAAGCTTCTAGTTGTTCCAAGCTGTACTAGAAAGTCCTTTCCAATCTAGTGTCTCGTTTCCTCAGTCAGGTTGTAAATTATTACCTCAAGGATAGGAACTCTTATTACTTTCATCATCCCCTCTTCAGTGTTCAGCATAGTGCTGGCCTGCTGAATAGACTTAATGAACATTTGTTTAGTTACCTTCAAAGCAATGGGGCTCAAAGTGATCATATCTATACAGCATGGTGGATAGTGATTCAGAGCATAACTCCAGATTGGCTTCCAATTCCAGCTCTACCATTCAGTAGCTCTGGGCAAGTGATTTCCCTAACTTATCAGTGTCAAAATCTCATCTACAACATAAGGGCAATTATAATGCTTACCTAGGGTTTTGTGAGGAGTCTACATGAATTGATATATTTAAAGTGCATAGAAAAGTACCTGGCATGTGGTAGAAACTACCAAAGTATAGGTTATTATTACTTTGTTACAGTTGTTATTGATATCGCCACCGTCATTACCGTTCATTATGTCTGAGCCTATGTATTCTGGATTTTGTAAAGAGCTGTTTGGGTATGGATGAATGATGGAGAAATGCGGAGGTTTAATAAAAAACAAAATAAAACAAAAACAACATTAACCAGGAAATGGGGAGGCAGCAAGAGGTTTGTTGTGAGAGAGACCCAGGGACCTGAGAGTGGAAAAGTGGGGCAGAGAACTGAGGCCATGTGGTGCAGTGGTTTGGCAATGACCTTAATTCTATTCTTGACTCAGAAATCTCTGAATAAGGACAACTTGTTATTTCCATAACTGTTTTAACTCTATTAACCAAATACTGAAATTTTAGAACACCAAGAGAAAAATTAGCCAGAATCCTGCAATTTTAGAAAAGTATATAAACAAGAGCAAAAGAATGAGAGTTGGAAAACAGTGAACTCAGGGGGCAAACAGGCACAGTGAAAGCAGTGTGTGCAGAGAACATTAGCCCTGGACTATCCTTGGGAGGAGGTGGTGGGGGCTGCTCCTTATTCCGAAATGACGTTCTTCTGGGTAGCGCTTCCTTAGATAAGGATAACTAAATTTGGCCAAAAGGGAATAGGAACCAATATTTATTAGACAGATGTATATATGTTTTGTATCATTTCATTCTCACCTCTTTGTCACTAGGTGGATATTATTTTTC